ACCTCTGACCCCAGACCTCTGACCTCAGACCTCTGACCTCAGACCTCTGACCTCAGACCTCTGACCTCAGAACCCAGACCTCTGACCTCAGACCTCTGACCTCAGACCTCTGAAATCTGTCCCCAGACCTCTGACCCCAGACCCCTGACCTCTGACCCCAGACCTCTGACCTCAGACCTCTGACCTCAGACCTCTGACCTCAGACCTCTGACCCCAGACCTCTGACCTCAGAACCCAGACCTCTGACCTCAGACCTCTGACCCCAGACCTCAGACCTCTGAAATCTGACCTCTGACCTCAGACCCCAGACCTCAGACCTCTGAAATCTGACCTCTGACCCCAGACCTCTGACCCCAGACCTCTGAAATCTGACCTCAGACCTCAGACCCCAGACCTCTGACCCCAGACCTCAGACCTCAGACCTCAGACCCCAGACCTCTGAAATCTGACCCCAGACCTCTGACCCCAGACCCCTGACCCCAGACCTCTGACCCCAGACCCCAGACCTCTGACCACAGACCTCAGACCCCAGACCTCTGACCCCAGACCCCAGACCTCTGACCTCTGACCCCAGACCTCTGACCCCAGACCTCTGACCCCAGACCTCTGACCTCTGACCCCAGACCTCTGACCACAGACCTCAGACCCCAGACCCCAGACCTCTGACCCCAGACCCCAGACCTCTGACCCCAGACCTCTGAAATCTGACCTCTGACCTCAGACCTCAGACCCCAGACCTCTGACCCCAGACCTCAGACCCCAGACCTCAGACCCAAGACCTCAGACCCCAGACCTCTGAACCCAGACCTCTGAACCCAGACCTCTGACCCCAGACCCCAGACCTCTGAAATCAGACCCCAGACCCCAGACCTCTGACCCCAGACCTCAGACCTCTGACCCCAGACCTCTGACCCCAGACCTCAGACCCCAGACCTCTGACCCCAGACCTCAGACCCCAGACCTCAGACCCCAGACCTCAGACCCCAGACCTCAGACCTCAGACCTCAGACCTCAGACCTCAGACCTCAGACCCCAGACCTCAGACCCCAGACCTCAGACCTCAGACCCCAGACCTCAGACCCCAGACCTCAGACCCCAGACCTCAGACCTCAGACCTCAGACCTCAGACCTCAGACCCCAGACCTCAGACCTCAGACCTCAGACCTCAGACCTCAGACCTGTTCCGTTCCCCTCATGTTTGAGTAAAACCTCAAATTAAAGTCCGTACTCCACCGCAGACATCTGGTCCTGGACGTCAACAACTCCCACTTTCTGGTGGAGTCCGTGTTGGATCCTCTGACCCTGGAACCCGCTGCCCCGCCCGTCCAGACGGGCCACGATGGCTCGGTCSGAACTGACCAGGACCGAGTCCCAGTCCAGAGAGAAGCGGTCGCTCACAGCCTGACCACCGGGGGCGCTGTCACTGCAAAACAATCAGAACCATCTTAGATCAGCTCAAGATTTAAGTATTCAAACTGAGATCAGAAAAAAACCCAAACTGTCCCTTTAATCAGAACCAGAACCTACAGAACCAGGAACAGAACCTACAGAACCAGGAACAGAACCTACAGAACCAGTAACAAGGGGTGCTCCTTCGTTTCATCCAGATCAACCGGAACAATCAGCTCCAGACGAAAACCTACAAAATAAAATCTTTGTTAAACTTTCAGCTCAGAGTTTAAACTAATTAATTTATATAAAACTTTTATTTTTATTTTATTTTTTTACCCAAGTTGTGGATCTGTAAAGTTCTTCTTTCAGTCTTTGGTACAGTTCTGTTCATCAGGGCCCGTCTCAGTTCTGCGTTCCGGTCCAGAACTTTGTGTTCTGCAGGGATTCAGAACCAGAACAGATTCTAAAAGATTAATTCACATCAAGAAGGTTCTGTTCAGTTCTCTGGTTCTGACACCTGAACAGAACCAACAAACGGGCCTGAAAAGAACCAACAAACGGGCCTGAACAGAACCAAAAAACAGACCTGAACAGAACCAACAAACAGACCTGACCAGAACCAACAAATGGACCTGAACAGAACCAACAAACGGACCTGAACAGAACCAACAAACGGACCTGAACAGAACCAACAAACG